CTAACCATATGAGTGGCCCTCCTCTGAACCCTCATCACTGGCTCTGCTATGGAACACAACACAGCCTTTGTTATGCCCAGAGAGAGCTGTCACAGACAGTCACACCACAAATACCAATTCCTCTGTTGAAACAATTTATATGCTCAAATAACTCAAACGGCTTCCTTGCTCCTGTGCAAAACCCTCATAAAAGTAAAGGGAAGGAGCTTTCAATTCCTTGATTTAAAATTTCAGCCACAATGTTGTTTAATTAAAACTTCAGCCACAATGTTGTTTTTAAAGTTAAAATATAGTGCAACAAGCTTTTCTTTCACATTATTTCATTAACATTGCAACACTTCCACTTAGCCCTACATGATTTCTTAAATCTCTCATTATACTTATGCAATCATCTAAATGAAACTCTGGATTATGTCAAAAGGGACAAAACAAAATTTTTTATTTGGGGTTATCTGTCAGTAATAGCCTTACCCGCATCTAAATACTTATGGAATATCTGGGATCCAAGATACACAAAGATAAATCTGAAATTTTTAGTGGTTCATTTGTACTTTGAAATAAGAGAGTTCTCACAATAGAAATATAACTCGATCTTAATGGCTAAAACGTATAACTGATTGTTATCTAGATAAACCTCTTCTTCTTTTAATAAGCCCCTTGTCTAATAGGTCTAACACTTCTCTGAAATGTTCTCAAATAGAAAATGTTTACTGCTTCTCCATGTTTATTAGATCAGCCCTGCTATTAAGCAACCAATTTGGTGGTCTCTGTACTCACTGAAGTCAAATTTCACTGTTTAAGTTTCTCATATTCCTTTCAAAGTCTCAACCCTTTTATTTTCTGAGCTGCATTAGTTTAACCATATTGTTCTGGTGGGTTAACAGCTCAACCATAATTGGTCTAATCAAAGTGGTGTTTACTTACATTTATTATTGGGCTATACATGTCAAATGTGTTGTACAATTAAATAACCTAACCCAATTGATTGGATAAGGAAGCAGAAGGCAATGGATCCCTGGGTAACTTAATATACAGGCAGTCCTCAACTTACAATGTTTCAAGTTACAATGTTTATAAATTGACACCATGTTTCAACTTTATGACCTCAGTTTCAACTTTACAACCCTTGATCCAATGTGATGCCATGCCAGCAAACAAGTTTGCTGCGTCACCCATCTCCCTGATGAACATCTGTCCAAACTTCCTTGGACATTTTCTTTAAGAAAGCAGACAAGACTCCAGGAAAACCCTGCATCCAAGACTCCTGAGAAGACTCCAGCCAAGAGCCCTTCAAAAAGTCCAGCAAAGTCACCTCAAAGAAGTCCTTCCAAATCAATATGATTGCTATTTACAATATAAATGCATTAATGTGGCTATATTACGCATCTATAATTGATTGAATACAAAATTCTGGGGTATTTTTCGTGAAAATAGGGCATCAGGCCTTGGTTCAGGAACCAACCCCCTCTTTATAACGTTTCTTATGAGAAAATTGGTTCCGAGTTACAACATTTCAACTTAAGATGCAGTTTTCAGGAACCAATTATGTCGTAAGTTCGAGGACTGCCTGTACTGCACTACAAACAGATGAGTTCTTAATGTTCTGGGATCGAATCTGCCATTGGCATTGGAGTCCACTACTTTCCAATGTTGTCCCATTTAATTTTAAATTTTGATACATCCCGTCATGGCTATAGCTCTGGTACACTTTAACTCTCTGAATGAACCCAGAGCCAAAATTAACCCCTAAAAAGGATACCTGTGTCGTTTCTCAGTATTTTCACTCACCTACATGGCCATAGCCTACCACGTTCTTGGCAATCTTGCCCAGTCGAACTCTGGTGTCAGTCACAAGATCATACAGTTTTTCCACAGGGAGCGAGATGTCGTATTTGAAAACGTAGCCATCGTAAGTGAGGGCCTCTGTGATCCTCTCCCTCAGAGCCCACAATGTCTATGATTCATGAGATCAAACAATGAATTGAAGAGAGAAAAATGAAAACAGAGTACCTCAGATTTCACTCTTCAGGACACAGGGATAGAAGGGAAGAACAATTCCTCAGCTGCCAGAGCTACTGTGATGGCCTTATGTCTTCCCTCCGTATACTTAATAACCTTATGGCTCTTGAGAGATTCAATTTATATTTGTTTGGCACCTCCAGACAGCCATTCTCCATTTCAGATAAAGGGGTGAAGGTTAAAATAACCAACTTTCTCAATACCCTACTGCTGCCCATGCCAGCTCTGATGTACCTCAGCGCTGTCCTACAGCACCCCACTGTGACAGCCCCATGTGTAGCTGGGCCAAAGCATCCATCTCAGTCCATAGAAACCTTCGGGTGCCTGCCTCACCGCCAGTTTTGAATGTATTTAGTTCCTGCCTCAGAAGGGGAAGCACTGGAGCCATGATGGTCCAGGGAACATGTAAGAAGTAAGATGTTTGAAGTGAGGCAACATCTTTTATTGGGCCATCATCTGCTTCTTCTCAAGACCTGAAGAAAGGCATTTTGTGCCTGAAGGCTTTTTAGTCCCTCCTGACTACAAGGTTTATCCAGTAAAGCAGGATAAACCTACAGCCTATGGCCTGGCTATGGCCCATGGAACCTTTGGCAGCATTCAGCAGCGAGTGGCATCTTCTGTGAGTGCTCTCCCCATGCTGCCAGGGGGAGAAGTGCCCGCTGCAGGCATTTTCCCCAAGCTGTTCAGAAGATAAAGGGCAACAGTGACAGGGATCTGGCACCCACCCACACTCCTTCAACCCAGAGTGGGCCATTCTGGCCCACAGCCTGAAATGGCTGCCTACCACAGCAATAAAAGATACTATTTTACATCACAAAGCCTGCTTCTCAGAAGAGCATGACATCATGTGAACTATCTTGGCATCTTAAACTACAAACACTCCAATGAAAGGCCAACAGTCAGGTCTCTTGCTAGTGCAGGAAGCTATGGGAAGGGTAAACTATGGAAAGAGCACTCCACTAAGCTACCTCATTGTCAGCATTAAAACTACATTCTGCTACAATGCTGACAAAAAGCTGCAGTGATCAGGCATCTGGGGCACTTCGGTTACCGCTTATTATGCAGACCCCCACTGTCTCATTATTCCTTTGTGTTCTCCCTTTCTGTTGTATCAATCTATTGCTCTGTCTTGTACTTACATTTTAAACTTTATGGGGCAAAGACCATCTGTGTGATGTATCTGTAGCGCACTTACGCACAGCGAGGCCCTGATCACCGCATAAAGATTAAAGATGCCAAAGTACTCTCAATACACTTCCAATACATTGAGTGCAGCATCTACATGTGCTATTATTGTGCATAAATAAACTCTGGAGCTTATTGCTCGAGTTACTTACTCCCAGGTGCACTGTTTAAACATGCACCCGGGTGCAATTAACTCCAGAGCAACAAGCTCCAGAGCTTATTTGTGCACAGCATGTAGAGCTGGGTTAGAACAGCCCCGGCTAGCAGAGGAGCCCAGGGATCACCCTGCCAGCCCAGGGCTACTCCACCTGGCTCAGTGCACTGCAGAAGGGCTGGCTGGGGCATGAGAAAGCTTCAGTGTGGAGTTAGCCAGCAGGTAGCCCCCACACTGAAATCAAGGAATCACAGAAAAGTGGATATTAAATTAAGGTTGGAAGGGACCGCAAGGAGGTCATCCAGTCCAACCCCCTGCTCAAATCAGGGCCAACCCCAACTAGATCACCCCAGCCAAAGTTTTGTCTAGCTGGTTCTTAAAAACCTCCAAGGATGGAGATTCCACAACCTCTCTGGATAACCTGTTCCAGGGTTTTACTACCCTCTTAGTGAGAAAATTCTTCCTAATATCTAACCTAGACTTCCATTGCTGCAATTTGAGACTGCTGCTCCTTGTTCTGATATCTGCCACCACTGAGAACAGTCTAGCTCCATCTCCTTTCAAACCCTCACTTCAAGGTAGTTGAAGGCTGCTATTAAATGCCCTCACAATCTTCTCTTCTCTAGACTAAATAAGCCCAGTTTCCTTCGCCTCCCCTCATAAGTCATGTCCCCCAGCTACCTCACCATTTTTGTTGCCCTGCACTGGACTCTCTCCAATCTGTCCACCTCCTTTCTATAGTGGGGGTCCAAAACTGAACACAGTACTCCAAACGTGGCCTCACCAGTGCTGAGTAGACAGGAATAATCACTACCCTGGACCTACTGGTAACATGCCTACCAATGCAACCCAGGATGCCATTAGTCTTCTTGGCAACATGGGCAGACTGCTGGCTCATACGCATCTTATTGTCTACTCTAACCCCCAGGTCTTTTCCTGCAGAGCTGCTGCCTAGCTAGTCAGCCCCGACCCTGTACTGGTGCGTGGGATTGCTCCATCCTAAGTGCAGGACTTTACACTTGTCTTTGTTGTCATCATGAGATTTCTTTTGGCCCAATCTTCCAATTTGTCTATGTCACTCTGAATCCTAGCCCTACCCTCCAGTGTATCTACTACTCCACCCAGCTTGGTGTCATCTGCAGACTTGCTGAGGATGCACTCTGTGCCATCTTCCAGGTCACTGATGAACACACTGAACAAAACCAGGCCCAGGACCAACCCCTGGGGCACTCTGCTTGATACTGGCTGCCAACTAGACATTGGGCCATTGATTACTACCCTCTAAGCCAAATGCTCCAGCCAGTTTTCTATCCACGTTACAATCAATTCATCCAGCCCATACTTCCTTAGCTTGCCTGTGAAAACATTGTGGGACAGCATATCAAAAGTCTTGTTAAAATCAAGGTACACCACATCCACTGGTCTCCCTGCATCCATGGAGCCAGTCACCTCATCACAGAAGGCAATCAGGATGGTCAGGCATGACTTGCCCTTGGTGAATCCATGCCGACTGCTCTTAAGGACCTTCTTTTCCGCCAAGTGCTTCAAAATGGATTCCTTAAGGATCTGCTCTATGATTCTGACTGGTCTATAGTTCATGCTCCAGCCAGCCCTCCAGAGTCTACACGTGCAGTGCTGTGGGTTTTTTTACTCCTCAGCAGGATAGTACTTATATATTTACAATTACTATCCTTCTGAGGAAAATTAGTTTACTCCAAATTAATACGGGTGCACATATAAACGTTGAGGCTAATTAGCTGCACAGTAAACACCAACTGCACAGTAAACCTTAGGTCTATGTCAAATTTCACCCAGTGCTTCATTTCAAAGCTGTTTCGATCCATTTTGAGGTCAAAAACAGAGAAATCAAAATGAAACAAAAGCCTTTGAAAACAGCTTCAAAATGAAACAACGGCACTCGAAATGTTTCGAGTTTCAAAGCCAGGCTTACTTGGCTTCATCGCCAGTTCCAGCCAGCAGCATCATCCAGCACGTAGATCAGGGACTTGTCCGCACCCCTGGGAGGGCTGCAGGGGCTGTGGCAGGCTGCTCCCGGGGTACGGACTCCTGATCTACCTCCCGGATCACAGGAGGCCGATGCTGCTGGCTAGGGCCAGCAGCAGCACTGATTTTCCCGGTGTTGGCTGTGGAATTGCCTATGGGCGAAACATTGAAACAGCGACAGTTTCAACGAAACAAAATAGAACAGTGCTTTCAAAATGAAACGAAACAAAACACTGTTCTGTCGAAACACTGAAACGGAAGTCGAACCAAAACAGTGCTGTTTCACACAGCCCTAGTAAACATCTTGTACAGATATGCCCAGTGTTATAACACATTAAATGGAAAAAGAGTCCAGGTACAGACCAAGGTTACAAGCCTTCCCAATTTTTAGCACAGGCTTAATCCAGGCCTTTCATCCACTCTGTGTATATTCTCTTGCATCGTTGGCTAAGAAGAGAGAGCTTTCTCTATTCCTTTGCTCTAAACAGAACTGTATATGTTGAGTAGGAAGATTTGATATTTGTTCTGTAACCACAAGAGAGGCAGGAAGGAAACAGTACGTTGGAAAGCCACCCTCAAGGCTACCAAAGAAAATTACTAGAGTATATGATTCACCAGGTAAATAAACTAAAGGTTTTCCTTCATTCAGGTGCCCTGGAAGCTTCTATGCCAAATGTCAAACTGTGCAAGCACCTGTCATTGTTAAGCATGATTCCAAACCAGTTAGGAGGGTAGGATGGGAAATCACCTTTATTTTCTTATCATCTGTGGCCACAGTCCCATCTGTTACCAAACCAGAGGCCATGACACATTCCAGAAAGTTGTTCAGTTTTTCTTGATCATGGGTAGAATTAGAGCCTGACGTTTCAATCAAAATAAAAAAGGGGCTTTCTGGAAGTGAGAAAGAAGAGGATGTGAGGGCAGTCAGTAAAAAGAGACTTCATTTGGGGGAGTAAATGTAATCTTGAGAAGTCATTGGGTAAAAAATAAAGAAGCATTCTTGCTGTATAAAACAGACAACTGGGATAACTAATCTTCCTAATATTAGGTATTATTCCACCATTCTCTCTAGGGATTCTGTTGCAAAGGCACAAGTCATGTAACTCTGGGTTCCTCCAGTGCTGTGACATGTGGAAAGTCTCCCTCACGAACAATGGTTCTGCACTCTTCTTTGGCTAGAAGGCAGAGACTTTTAAACATGACAGAAAGGATGCCATATCTGTTAGGGCTGAAGATTCAGAAAATGTTTTTGATCTTATCAAAATGTCTGTTTTGTGTTGACAGGGAGTATTTCAGAGTGGGACTCTGCATAAATATGGAAATAAACTTTGTTACCTGACAAGTAGCTCATATACCATGAAGGTGACCACATGTTTTATGTAATGGAAATATCAAGATCAAAGCTCTACCAAGAAGCCCTTCATGTTGACATTCCACATTGCTTCCAGTACCCTATAACACTGATGCTGCATCAGCTGCTTTATACATCACCTTTCCAGTAATCACTTTTAATATGACCCTTGATCTTGAGCTAGGACCAATGTTTCAAAATGAAATGTAAACCCTAGCCATGGAAAAAGATGTCACAGCTGCAATGATGCCAGGTCAGATCCTGACAAGTGACAAGACTAGGAGACCTCCTTAGAGATGCTTTATGGTAGAACATTAATGGAATTTATTCAACAAAATTCACAGCTGGGTTAGGATGATGTCTTCTTCCTAGATACAAAAGACAGGGAGCATTTCATAAGGACTATCCCTGGAGAAACCCTTTAACCTCTCCAACATGCAAGCTGAATACTTTTCTAAACCTCAGCAAAAGTTTATTACTTCATGACAGAGTTGGCTTTCATATACAGTTCCACCACTGCATTCCTCCCCCCACACTTGGAGAAACCTTTCCTTTAGGTCAACAAAGCAGCTGGTCCAATATTCATTAACACCTTCTGAAAATAACATCCAAGACATATTTCACATTTCCAAGTCTTTTTCTACAGTAAAATAAAGACGTCTAGATCCCTGACATCAGAGCAGAGCCTTATGTCGCAATTTCCTATTTACGCATAGCATATTGATTTTGGTACCTGTCACAGGGTTGGACAGCTTGAGGTGGCTCACAACCAACTTCATGCACCTGTCATCCATGAACTCGTATGCAGACAGGATCTCCCCTAGCATTCCCTTGCAGGTAGTGAAGGTTTCCAAAATCTGAGAAAAACTCTGACAACCTTTCAACAGACAACAAATAGCATCAGGAAAATCCAGACTGTTGACAAGCTAATAAATGTTACCTAGCTCAAAACAGGAGTATAGCAAATAGGAATAGACAGAATATGTGCTTAAACACTTATTAGAAATGTTTGAGATGGCAAATATTTTCTAGTAAAATGCTAAAGACCACCTATTACTTAATGGATCCTTTTCATGGCAAGGATTTCTAGAAACCCTGGGCACCCTTCAAGCTAAGATGTGTGGAGTACCCTCAGCCTACACCCCACTAATCTGTTTGGGCCAGAGGGAAAGACGAAGAAGTGACTGAATGTCTGCCTGTCCACAGCTTAAGATAAAAAGCTCAAATGTCAAGGTGACAGAAGCTTTAGGAATGCTCCAGTTAAAAGTGTTTAAAGGAATCACACTTCACAAGTGTCCAGGGGCAAGGCATAGGGGGTGCATGTGCACCCCCTGTGCAAAGCAGCGCACCCCCTGCAAAAAAAGCGCCACCGACACTGCTGGTGGTGCCTGCAGGTGGTCACCAACCTATGGTCGGTGCTCACCGCCACCCCCGTCGCCAACAGTGCCAGCGATGTCTGCGGGAGCTCCCTGCTCACCGCTGGTGCAGCCGTGCCCCCCCAGCTGCCAGTGGCATGGACCATTCATGCAAGTGTCTTAATGCACAGCCCCAAAATATTCTTCCAATATGGGAAGCAAAATCAAGCTAGTGGCATAAAGGATTTCAACTGTTTGAGTGCCTTCTCTCTGAGTTCTCAGATCTCAGCAGTCAAGTGAACTAAGGGGATGCCCATGCTACACAATGCAAGCTAATTTGTACATTTCTACATGGCACTTCAGTGCACAGTACAGACACACCCTCAGCATGAGACTGGCCCCTGAGATCACAGATTAGCTCAAGCAATACCTGGCAAATCACCCTGTTGGTCCACTGGTATTATGCCAACAGAACAACACTTTATTACATGTTGCTAACGTCACAGTGGGAGGACAAGAGTGATGAATCCTACCTAGGAATGCCAAATTCACAGCCATGGGTTTCCGAGGACAGAGTATAGAGACAGCAGTAATGACTCCCAAAGTCCCCTCTGACCCAATGAAAAGCTGCTTCAAGTCATAGCCGGTGTTATCCTTGCGCAGAGAAGTCAAGCAGTTGAGAACAGAGCCATTGGCTAGCACCTGTCAGAAAACAAACAGATAGTGCTGATTACCTAGATATACACAGGTGAGGAGCTCATCAGAAGAGCAAAGACAATCCAGAGCTTCTGAAAGCCTCTCATCCTCCCAATGCCACAAGTGGGGCTGCATTTTTCTTTTCCTCAGTTCCACACGTTCTCTCATCATTTCTTCCACCTGCTCTCTGTCCATCTTCCCATCTGTGCCCTGCTCACACTGCTCTTCCATTTTGGTGCTATTGGTACCCATTCCGCACGTAATGCAAGGAACAGTCACACCAATAAGGACACAATAAGCTATTTTTCTTACCTATCAATGATCAGCACTTGCAGGACACTGGAGCGAGCACAGTCATGGTGGGATAGTAGGACCCAGGCCAGAAAACAATCCTAAAGTGAGACTGCTCTAAAATGCCAGACATTTGGTAAGGGTGGGCTGCTGGGCTTGTCGTTATATCTTGAACTGCCATTAAAAGAGAGCTAACAGTAGGACCCCTAGTAAGCAAAATAATCTAGGCACAGCTGTACTGTGACCATGGAAGGAGGGAATTCAACCTGGTTCAGCTAGCTCTTGAATTCCAGAGGTTCAATCAGAAGTGCTCTCTCCCTCCTTTTCAGCACAAAAAGTCCAACTAATTACACTGGGGGTTAAAGCAGTGATCAAAGTAGGAGTCTGAATCTTTTAAAATCCCTGTGTCAATGAAAATCCTTGTAAAATCTTTTATTAATGTTTCCTCAAAAGAGCTCTGAAAGTAAGTTGAAAGGGGGTGTTGTTGTCAGGGAACACGAAAACCTGGTGAATAACTCAGTTCCACATCACATGGAATATAAAAGCAGGATTGCAGCACGACAGAGTGGAAAGAAAGCACAATACAGAAAGCAGCCTCAAGAGCATCTTACCACTTCCAGTCCCAGAACTGTCCCTCGGAGAGAGCCGTACCTCAGCAGCCGCAGGCCTCCTGCATTTGTTGCCACATTACCACCAATGTGGCAGCTGCCCTTGGCACCTAGGTCCAGTGGCATGATGAAATCCAGCTCCTCCAGGTATTGGTTCAGGTTCTCTAAGATGCAGCCAGCCTGGCAAACAAGGACTCCTGAGACACAAGAATCAGGCTACCATGTGATACAGAGAAATGTTCTTCTACAGCATGTCAACTGTAAGCAGATACAACATCCTCTCTCTGCAGAACTTTCCCCAGATGGTACCACTCAGACCCAGAAGAACTTTGCTCATGAACACAGAGTTCAATCTGCCTCCTACAGAGTCTCTGGGGCTTGTGCCACTGACTTTAACTGCAGCAAGGCTGGGGTTGTGATCTGGAAAACAGCAGCATCACCTATTTCTCTGCCTTGAATTCTCCCTTATCTTAACTTGTAAAAACCTGTATGTTCAAACTACAAGACTTCTTGCTCCCCAAATCCAAACACTCCTACATACTTTCCCTATTTCTCTCCTCCCCCTCTGCCAGCGCAAACCAGTCATGAACCTAGCTGATCTTTTTTTCAGAATAACTGGAATTTCTGTCCTATACACTATTATCAGACACAGAAAGTATCCCTTTTTAAACAGAGTGGGATGGGGAAAAGTACTTATCTCTTTCCAGCCACCTCCCCACTCTCACCAATTAAATATATACCTGGGTTTGCTGCTGTTACTACTAGCTAGAAATAACAGCATCAGCAGGATTCTGAATTCAGGAAATCTCTGCTGCCCCTCATGGTGCTGCTGGTCTACAACCCTGCTGCTAACAGAAAAAGCAAATCTGAGGAGGGCAGGCTGCAGGTAACGAAAATGAAGCCACTGGAGAGTAGGAGTGATATATTTACCAGACACACTGTCGAAGCTGATGACCTGGCTCATGAGAGCTGTGGAGAGGATGATCTCATCAAAGACAGGCACACTGCCCCCAACAAGGCCAGTGTTGCCCCCTTGGGGGTTTACCGCCAGATTTCTCTCATTGCAATACCTGAAAGGGAATGCATGTCTCAAGCTATGACACTGCTCTGTTTGTGCCATTGCTTTACACGAGCAGCTGCTATAGCATGACTTTTATGCTCATTAAAGGTACATGGCATCAGACAACAAAGCAAAGTTTGAGATAAAGGGAGCATTTCACACTTAGAGTAGGACTGGAATTTCACCATAGGCCTCGAGTATAAGTGCATAGTAACATATATTTAGGACATGACTTTTATTTGCAGTTTCAGTTGTACCACACAGCATGTTTTTCTTCAAAGCAGCAGCCACCTCCTTCTATAAGCTTGCCATTCATGTGGTTGCCTTTGTAAACTTAATTTGTTACTGAGTGGTCAGCAGATTTTTCATCACTTTGGTTTTCACTATTTTGTGGGAGCTTAGTTTATTCCAGCTGTGACAGCAGGACACTAGACTTGATGCTCCTCCCTCCTCCTCAGGAAAGTCAATAATTGGTTCTGTCACCTCTTCTATAAGCTCCCTGGCAGACAGAGGCAAATATTTCATTATGCATTAATCATGTGGTTATTATTTAGAGAGAACACATAATGCAAGAGGCATTTTACAGAGCAAGGTAAAAGAAAGGTCTTTAACCTAACAGGCTAACAATCTAATTCCAAGTGAACTTACTGCTTAAACCATACACAGGTGCACATGGTCATCTCTTTTTGCTACTTCTCTCCTTCAGAGGAAGGCTGCTGGGGCTGTCTGAAGTTTCTCCCTTCCTGAGCTAGGGGCTGCTTCTAATTATGTCAATTCAATACAACAAAAAAGGCATTAGTAATGCAACTACCATCCCCACTGTTATTTATGATTTCTAATTGAAGCCGGAGATGCATAGATTTGAAAAGTCAAACACAAAACACCTGGCAAGTCATAAGTAGGGCTGAGTGAAAAACAGGAATTCCATTCTGTGAAATATTTCCAGGCTCTGGCATTTGCTTTGACTTCACGCCAGCACCAAAGAGATCTTTAAAATTTTGCTTTGAGGGGGAGTGGGAATGTGTCAGGGAAGGCCCAACTTCAAGTCTCTGATCTGCCTTATTCCCATCCAGCTCTATTAATAGTTCACCTAGGGAAAGCATCTGTAGTTAGGAACCCATTCTCTCTAAAAATGTGGAAGCTCTCTTGATCTAGCGTTCATAGTTAAATGGAATTTTGCTCATTCATACACCTGATTTCACGATTTAATTTTTCAAAGCAATGTCAAATGATAAAATAAAATAATTAACAGAGCTGAGCACAGGAAGAATACAGGAATAACAAAACCAAAGCATTTAAGGATTAAGAATCATTAAAAAGATTACCTGAGAATCTCAGATACCTCTGCAGTTGTCCGTGGCCTCAGCAACAACTTACTGGAGCCTACAAAAATGCAAAATCAATATGAAACAGATGTTAATTCAAAAAAAAAAAATCAGAATTATTGGTGCTGGTAGCAACAAAACATACCAAGACTCCATGCACCAGTATCACAAAATAAGGATGCAAGGGCACTTGTTCCTTCAGTTAGCAGGACTGGAGAAGGCAAAATGTTGCTCCAGTTCATGCCATTCAGAAATGGCAATGATGGGCTGCAAAGGAATTGGTCTTACACAGAGAATGTTTCACCTGCTGATCTTCAAGCACTTTCTAAAGGATAAGCACCACAATGCATATTTTACAATCAGGAAGACCAGGGGTTGTCAACCAGGGGGAATGTGTACCTCCAGGGGTACTTGAGAAGGCCCTAGGGTGTACGCATAGGCAGCTGGGGATGGAACACTGCCATGCACCATCCTGCACTGCCACGCAGGCACCGCACACTCAGCTGGACGCAGGAGGAGCTTGTATGCAGTGGCGGCTGCTGCCACTCCGCATTCAGCCATGCACCACCTTCCTCCCGCTGGGGGGTACACTGATCCAAAAAGGTTGAAAACCCCTGAGGTAGACCATGTTGCTATGACACATACATGAAGTGGGCAGAAATCAAAAAAGATCTGATGGTTACTATTATGGCAAATCCAGAAAATGCCTATTTCAGTGTACATACGAACCTAGGATTACAGGGATATTTTTTCCTCAAAAGAACTAGTAGAATTGACCAGATATAGTAACAGTCAACTTTCACTTGTACAGGCTACTGGAGAAAGGCAGAATACTGAGCCAAGCACGCCACTTGTCTGCTCCATAGCAACACATCTAATAATACTTAAATCAGCTTCACTCAGTCCAGTATTCTCTCTCACTGCCTTGGTACTGGCAGTCATGGAAGACATAACCCAGAGAATAAGTAGGTGGACAGTAATAATGACCCTCTTGAAGACAAACTCCAGCTCACATCTTGGATTTAGCTGTAAGGAAGGCTAAAGGATTACATGCTACAGCCAAATAGTTTTAACACCTGGTTTGAGAAAAAAAATGGTTACTAAGTTTAACTATGTACAAAGCACATGTCAGGGAGTCCATCTACATCTACAAGTTGTCTGTGACATTTTTTAGCCCAATTCTCAGGATAACACCCAACCCCTCCACTCTGGGAATAATTAAAAGAAGTTTTTTGACTCCTTATGTATTTGAAACTATCTCCTCTATTTTAATCCACTTAATTTTGTCTTAAGAAACTACATAAAAACATCTTCAATGGATGAATTTGACCTTAAAATGGACCCCAAAACAAGGAAAAACCTTGGCTATTTATATAAACAAAGGATGTGTTTCCAATTAAATCACCAATGGAGGTGAATAGGAAACATTTCTGATTCTTGTGAAAATAATGACAAACAAAAAAAATGCGTCCCTTTCTTCTCCAAACATTTTGTTAAAAATGCCTGTTTTCAGCAATCAAATCCATTTGTTTTTTTTGTTTCTTTTGCTTGTTTGTTTCTGGGGGTTGTGTTTTTTGTTTGGGTTTCTTTATGAGAGTCCCAAATGTAAACAAAAATTTCCCTCAGAAGTGGAGGTTTTTCATGGAAAAAGAATTAGAATCATAGAAAGTTCAGGTTGGAAGCACCTCAGGAGGTCATCTAGCCCAAGCCCCTGCTCAAAGCAGAAAAAATACTTTAAATGTAAGGCTTTGATTAGTTCTAATAACCAAACTGATTCTGCAAGATGAATATAAACAAACTCCATTACAAGTCTGGCAGATCTACTGAATATTTCATCTGCAAATTTTTCATTTTTCATCCTGATATAATGGTGAATAGAGACTGAGTTTTGCCGAAACCTAAAAACATCTACCTCGGACTGATTGCAGCCAGTCCACGTTAAAAGGTTTCAGTTCTTCTGGGTCTGTTATGACTCCACCTGGTATAATGCGTTCAAAGAAAACCAAGTCACTATCAGAAACATAGGAGAAGGGCAGCCTCTGCACTCCATACCGCTCACTGGTCAGCATCACTTCCTGGGAGCTGGTGAAGCTGGTATGGAGAGCTCTCCTGCCAAGGGGACCAGCCCTCCACAAGATGGATGGCCTGACTTTTGCCATCCTGAGTTGTTCTGCAAGTCTCTTCTGCTTGTGTGTCCACTGGGCTGGAGCACTGGTCCATGCTGCCAAGGTTCTGTTCTGGCAGTTCATTTGCCATCTTTGTAGGGTCAAACAGCACCAACCCACATGACACTGGACTAGAGATGACATAGCCATGGTATCCCTGAAATGCAAACAGAAGATTAATACCTAGTCTGGACTCTTCCTGTCACTCCCTAGACCTCATCTACAGAATTTTTTTTTTCCCCATGAACTATTGTTTTTGTAGACAGAAACACAGGGAAAAACCAACTCTTCTAGGAAGCAAAAAGTCATTAACACTTGCAAACTGGATAGCTTCAAGGTCAATAAGTGTATTATTGCACACATCTAGGGGAATCCAGATTGAAACAACAGCTGATACAGGAAGCCAATGCCTCCAGCACTACTGGATATCACTATGAAAACAATACATAAGATTTCATGTCTTTAACTGAGATATGGGTGCATAACAATAATCCAAACGATATTTCCTGCATAAATATTTCCTTGGTCCTTACGCTGCACATGACAGAATAGGTTTGCCCTCAACACTTTCTACACACACAGCTCAAGCCTATCCTGAAGAAAGTATGCATTTATAAACACCTTGGACCAACACGCAGGGCTGTCCCTAAGGGGGGACAAATCCGAGTGATCACCCCAGGCCCCGCGCTTTGGGGGGCCCTGCAGGGCGGAGCAACGGCAATGCGGAGCTGGGTGGAGCGGTGGTGCCACATCTAGCCACTCGCTACCCCCCCTTAGCCCCCCACCACGCCACTGCAGATGGTGGCAGCAGCTTCTTCGGAGCCAAGATCAGAGCGGGGGCGGGGCCCCGCATGGGCTGGTTTGCCCTGGGCCCTGCACCCTGCTCAGATCGACTCTGCCAACACAGCTACCAAATACATCCCTGAAACATGGAAGATGCCAAATTTTAACCAATTTTGGATTTGAACTTCATTGCTGAACAAGAAAGATTTCTACACCTCCCTGCCTTTCTGCCATCTGACACCACCAGGTTAGGAATCCTTCCTTAGCTGCACATCAAAGAGCAACTCACAAAGACACTCTCATGGACCCAAAGGAACAGACCTTCAACTTCCTCTGTGCAAAAATTACGTTTATTTTCTACCTATGGGGACTTTTTACCTTCCTTAATTTTCCCTGAGTCTGAGGAAGGGCATGTGTGCCCAAAAGCTTGCAGAAAAAGATTTTATTTTTGTGATTTCTTAGTTGGTCTAAAACAGGGGTGTGTCCAACCTTTTTGAAAGTGGCACCAGATCATGAACTTTTTATCACCCAGTGGGCCTGCGAGCCATATTCAAAGACCTCACAGGAAGTGGTATCACATCAGGAAGTGATGTCACATGACCTTTGACACCAATGAAGTTGCAGGAAGTGACAATGAAATGGGTGTAACCAGTTCAAAACTCTCCCTCTATAGCATCCACCTCTGCCACTGTTCGGGACAGGATACTGAGCTAGATAGACCATGGGTCTGACCAAGCATGGCACTTTTTATGCTCTTATGTTCAGAAGCTCTTATGTTCTTTGGCTGAGCTTCCAAACTATGGCTGAGATTTGCAAAAAGGAGTAGATTGGCACGTTACAAAGTTGTCATAAAAGGTTTGGAGCCCTCTAAATCCCATTCATTTGAATGGAAGTTGGCCTTTTGACTCATCTTGGAAAATCTCAGCTCAAGGTGCCAACCAAATAAGTCAAAATATATTTTGCATTTCTACGCAGTGCATCTGTGTGGGACTCTCCAAGCATTTTACAAACACTAAATGAACCTCAGGATGAGCCCAGCCGCAGCAGCAGAGGCTCAGCTGCACTTTCCCCCTACCTGCGCTGGTCAGTCCTGAGTGGCACATGGCACCGTGCTGCTGGGGACGGGAGGAGGCGGCCGAGTCTGCACCAGCCAGCAGAAGCGGCAGCAGAGCCGTGCGCCGCTTGGGACGGGACGAGCCCGGCCGGAGCAGCAGGGGCTCAGCTGCATTTTCCCCCTACCTGCGCCAGTCAGTCCCGAGCGGCACATGGCTCTGCTGCCGCTTCTGCTGGCTGGTCCCGACCTGGCTGGCTCCTCCTGTCCCAGAAGCACGTGGGAAGCCGGCTTCAGCTGCGTGCTGCTCCGGATGGCACAGACCCGCCTGGGTCAGCACTGGCCAGCAGAGGCAGTGGCAGAGCCGTGTGCTGCTCAGAACTGACCAGCGCAGGTAAGGGAAAGTGCAGCCAAGCCCCTGCTGCTCCGGCCGGGCTCATCCTGTCCCAAGTGGCACACGGCTACTCCTCTTCCCACATGCACCACGTTGGCAACGTCAAGATGACGCGGTGCGTGTGGGAACCTTGTCCCTTCCCCAGCCCTTCAGCAGCCATTAGGAAGCTGCTGAGGGGCTGGGGGAGGGACAAGGGGTAGGAATAAAAGTAAACAGTGTTTACTTTCATTTCCCGTCGCAGCACCGCAGGCCTCAAAAAATGGCTTGGTGGGCTGCATGGCGGCCCACGGGCCGTATGTTGGACAAGCCGGGCCTAAAAGGTATCATCTCTGAACCAAGAGTTCTAGAGTTTTGCGTTTATAAACACTGGACACCTAACTCTCCACTACAAAGTAAAAGGGACTAGAAAATTAGACCTATGTTCTTTGCGTTACCCATGATGTGGGAATGTTATCATCCAAGTTTGCCAGCGCTATAAACGGGGCTAGTTTTTTTCACTGTAAGACTCTCAAGACCAAAATCTGCCCCATCACCTCCATTCCACAATCCTGACACACAGAGAATGAAGAGGGTTGTCTGTGCCTGCAGGACCACAATAGTTCAGGCAGCCAGAAACAACAGAGGGCTGGTCCTAACTGCTCCAGAAGGCAAAGGGAAAACACTGCCATTGGAGAAATAAAAGCTCTGGCTCAGATTCTTGAAGGCATTTAGATATCCCATCCAACTCCCTTGAAAACACTGGAAGACCTAAGGATCTAGGTCTCAGCACAGAATTATAAGCCACTTCAGCCAAAGAAAAATGCTATTATTTTAACAACTGGAGATTAAAAACTGGCATAGTGTGCCATTAAAGACATGTCAGTCTTTGTATTTGTACAAACAGGAGCAGTGTCACCATGTCCTGCGCTGTTGACCATGATATGAATGAACCAATGAAAATGCCTAGTGGATTTAAGTCAATAAATCTGCCCTGTGTTGCTTATTAATTGCTGAGGTTGGTTTCCCTCACCTTCCCCCAAGATATCTCCCCTATTAGAGCATTTAGTAAAGTTATAGAAGGAAATGAGAACCATCATTTATCATTGACAAGTTTGTACTCTCCCTCTTTTCAGTTGCACAAGCCAATGAGAAAACCTCTGCCCTTTTCCAGCCTGTAGTAATGGCACTTACAACAGGCCTGACCGCAACATCCTCTGAAGTCAGCAGGAAGATTGCAACTAATTTAATGGATGTTGGTGTGAGGCCCGTGAGTGCCTCACTCCACCTCAGGTTGGCTGAATAAAGCCAGCCCTAGGGAGAGCAACAACAGAGACGAGTTTAGGCAGCAGCAGCACAAAACTGCACAGACCATGCCATGTTATACAGCTCCATTTCCTGAGGCAACCTACAGCCCTGATCACCTGACTCCACGCCCAAAGGTCTCTGCCACCACAAGCCCCCGGGGTGTCTCTGTGGGGTAGAGGCGCCTGCCCAGGTCCCCGCGGGACACAAAGCTCCCATCACCCAGGGAACGTGCTGCCAAGGCAAAGAGGTGCCTGGCCAGCGCCTCCCACGCGGGGCCGGGGCAGGACTCTAGAAGAGCCAGTTGTGGGGGAGGGTGTTCCTCCTTCCTCTGGCCCACAACGCGGGGCTCTGCTCCGGGGGGGCAGGTGGCCACAGCCAGGCCGGGAACCTGCCCGGACGTCTGCCCCGGGGATCCCCGCGCGGGCAGCACCAGCGCCCGCCACAGCCAGAGCCAGGGCAGGAGGCACACTGCCAGTGCCTGGACAGGCGGACGAGTACTGCCAAACGCTGCCAGGTCCGCGCTGTGAAGTGCAGCACCCCACCCACCGCCTCCCGCCCGCTTTACCGAGACCGGAAGCGGAGCCCTCCGGCCGCGCCCGTCGCTCCTGCCTGTGCCCCGCCCCCTTTCGATTTTCTTTCCGCCGACTAAAAACCTCCCCCGCCCAACCCCGCGCGGCGCCTCCTGGGAAGGACCTCTCCAGCCCCGCGCTCGCCCCCCACAGGGCTGGGCCGGGAGACCCTGCACATGCGCACAGCGCGTAGGGGCGGGGCTAGGCCTGGCGTCACGCGAGGGGCGGGGTCGTCACGGGGAGGTGGTTGTGGCCGGGCCCCGCTGCCACCTGTTCGCCGCCTTCGCCTGTCAGGGCGCGATGGCGGTGGGGCGCGGCGGGGCTCCTCCACTCGGCCCGGCTCAGGCCCGCACCAGCCCAACCAACACCCCCCTGCCTGCCAGGCCCTGCCACTGCCCCGCGTCACTGCGCACGTGGACGACCCAGCCTTGTCTGCAGCCCACGCAGAGCAGCCCCGTGAAGCCGGAGCAGGCCCTGCCTCGGTTCAAACCCGCGACACCTCCGTCTCACGCAGAGGGTCGAGCACCACCAAAACTCGAGTCAAACGGTCTTAAACATGGCCCCTCTCTTCCACCCTGTGGCTTGCCAGGCAGCTCCGGGTGGCACCGGCTGCATCAGAACCAGCTGTTGTAAGTGATTCATTCCCCCGGCGTCGACCCCTTCAAATGTCCTCACTGCTGTTGTCCCTGCACTCCCGTGCATACGGCCACAGTCAAACAGTACCAGTTACCCCCACCCTGGCTCAGTTTTTCCAAATCTTTTGCATTCAGAGATAATAGCATCACCTCGACCATCAGCCTGTGAGAGAGTGGGTCTTTAGGGCAGCCTGTCACTCCTGTCCTGGGACCAGCAAAAAAGCAGCCCATCAGATAGACCTGCCATGCTCAATCTCTAGCCCATGGGCCAAATCTGGCCTGTAGGGCTGTGTCATCTCTCAGGTCCAGACATTTGGTGGTGAGGAAAGTAGTGACAGTATTCACTGCATTGGCTCTGGAAGCTGTGGCAATGCTGCCTCTGCTCCCCCACTGCCAAATTTTTGGACCTGTGGGAAGCCCTCCAAGCCAGATAACATGGCC